TTCTACATCATAGCTATCTGATCAAAATACCCAACTATATTCAGATTCACATCATAATTGATTAACTCAACTTTACCTTTTATTTCAATCTTATAACTCTATCACTTTTACTCTGACAGTTAATCAATAACATCTGTCCAATCTAGAACACAACCCTAATCAACCAATCACATACATCCTTTCTAATCAATATTCCGTTGTTCAACTGAACATTCTGACTTACTTTGTCTTATAAACTAATCATCGATATACCCATTCATAAACTCTTCTTATCAATCCTCAGCTTTACTCAAATATACCAATCCTTATTCCCTTTACTATACCACAGTACTATGATCCAAATATACAATTGTATCCAGATCCATTTCATATTTGGTTGTCTTATTATGACAACATCTCAAAATATTAAATTCTATACCTTTTCCATCACATAATCTGGTTAGCCAACGCTAACTCTTTCCATCCAAAATACAAACCCTTATTCTATCCACATTCTTATTAATACACAGTGCTATTCTTTTATTTCAAACTCATCAACTCTGACTGTATATATCTTATATGCTTGTCACTGATGCACTTATTCTCGAACTTTCCACAAATTCTAACCACATCCTTAGATCTTTTAACATAATTATGGTGACACTTGCTCACCATATTCTATCTTATTCACTTTATAACAAAACTTCTCCGTTTCACTTTTTCGATTCGAAACAGTGAGAACCTTTTATAACTATTCGAATATGATTTCAATTTCTGAAATCAACCTTTAATCTTATAAGACACTTTCTGAGGTTTCTGCTCTTCATCCTGCCTGGCCAGGGCAAGTGAATTGCTATCACCATCAGATTTGTCAGCTATCGATTCACTTTGTCATTTTTTATAATCACATTTCTATTGTATTCTATTAAACTTATTCTATCAGCAAGACAACATATTCTTTACAATTTCAGATCAGAATTTTTTTTTTTTTTGGCATGTATACATTATACGACACTCTAGACTCCGGTTTATGCCGAGAATCGACTAAACCGTAGCTCTAATACCATTAAATGTAACACCCCAACCCGTACCCGACCCGGATACGAGTCTGAGGTGTCACATTGACTTTTCAAACTTTGACTCTTGATAAAATTCAAAGAATTTTTAAAACATTTCATTAAAGTAAAAGAGGTTTAGTTACATAAACTGACCATAATAACCAAAATCAATCAGAGTATATTTAATTCAACCAATTAGTACATGCCAACTATACTCAAAATAATCAAAAACATTTAAATCATCTATTTTCTGATCTGAAATTTTGTAAGGGAGGTTCTGACCTGTCTTACTCTTCTTCTATTCTCTTCTTGCTTCTGTACCCTACGTGTGAAACAATCACACGCTAAGTCGAAGACTTAGTGAGGCATAAAAACTTATAATGCACTTTATAACATATATCAATACATGCATGTTCTGTTCTATCATGTTATACCAAATTACATGCTTTCTTCGTATCATATAAAATCATATCAGATTAATTATAATAAATACATACATACACATAACTCATCATTAACAGTTTATCATGTAATCACATACTTTTATGCTTAACCTTTTCAATCAAACACTATACACACAAAACATCATATCATTTCTATAACATTTATCATACCACTAACATATATTTGTTTATATCTCTTGATTAGCCCATGTACATATGTGAGAACTATAGATATGTGAGTTTATGGAGGTTGTGCACTAATGCTGTCACCACAGCTCATATAAATGCACCGAAGTGTCGCACAGAATTGCACTGTAGTGCCGCGTAGAATTGCACCGTAGTGCCATATAATAATGTCCATAAGGACCACATATCATTCCTTAAGAATCATATACATATGCCAAGGATCAAGTATGTGTCTCACCAGACTTCACACATGTTCCAAAGAATACATATATATCCCGAAAGACCACATATCATTCATTAAGAATCATATACATATGCCAAGGATCAAGTATGTGTCTCACCAGACTTCACACATGCTCCAAAGAATACATATATGTCCCGAAGGACCATATATCATTCCTTAAGAATCATATCCATATGCCAAGGATCAAGTATGTGTCTCACCAGACTTCACACATATTCCAAAGAATACATATATGTCCCGAAAGACCACATATCATTCCTTAAGAATCATATACATATGCCAAGGATCAAGTATGTGTCTCACCAGACTTCACACATATTCCAAAGAATACATATATGTCCCGAAAGACCACATAGACCCTCGACTCTTGGCATGCCAGCTATACCCCTAGCTCTCATGACACATAACATGGGCATTGTCATTTATATCATTTCATATTCACACATGCATATTAATTATCTTTTATCACATGTCTGATCTCTTATAATTATGTAATCACATAGCTCATGTCATTTCTTGTAAAATCACATATATCATGTAATACATATAACTTATACACTTTCTCATATGTTCACATGGTTCACATCACATGAATCATATCTTTTCATATAGTTTATGCTTTATTCTCTTATATTCCCATACATGTAATACATATTAAGCATGGTTACACAACTCCTTTCGATATAACTTGCATGTACCTATATTCTTTTTCATATACTCACATAGTCATATAGTATAATATTTCATATAACCTCATGAAACAACTCACATGGATACATACTCAAATACTCATAGTTACATATCACTTAAATTATTCATATTTACCTAATCCATGGTCATATAGCTTTTATCACCAAGTCACTTATCTAATCTCTTATTCTCATATGTTCATATTTATCATATAACACATAAGTTTTATTGCATATTTATATCTCATTCCTACATCACTAATTCATAATATAATTTACATCATATCATCTACCTTATTATGTATTTCTTAGTATACACTTTCATTACCTAACCTACATTATACTTATAAACCTAAATATATTACTTCTATTATTTCTTTTATGTACAATTTAATCTATTTACTTAATTCAATTTCGTACAACTCCTATAATCATTTCATATCACTCCATAGCTTCTATTATACAACTAATGTATCATAATTTTATTTAAGCATATGAATCTTTCTCCTCTATCTTATCTTATATGCTCATAGTATCACTGAAGTTCAAGTCTCCTAGTTAATATATTATTTATGTAACCTTTGCTTACTTAGTTCATATCCTTTCTCATAAACTCACTTTTACCATATTCTCATGTTATTACTTAAATTATCTCATAACATGTATTCACGTAGTAATATTTCATTTATATATCAAAGATCTTATCACATAACTTATCTTTTATATTCATATAATTTATTATCATATCATATGGTTTATATCATCATAACATATCACACATTCACATCAACCATATAATACATATATACAATACATGTCAACACGTATAAATCATACACATATATACTTCTATTTATGAATTCATGCATTTTACTATGGAAAATAGACTTGTCGCAAGTCTTATTTCCATTTAACATCATTTAATACTAATATGCACTCACCTGGCTTCACTAGTCCATTTCAATCTCTTATCTTCCCTTTTTATCGATCTTACTTGTCAATGATTCCGGAACTCGTTTAGGCTCTGAATCTACATAATTATGCATTTTAAGACAATTATTAGATACCTACACCTTGTAATTTGATACTAGCAACTTAAACGAACTTATTAAACCAATATTTACAATTTTCCTTTAGGGGGAATCGGTTCCCTCCTGTGGGGGTATCGGTTCCCCCTTGACATTCTGTAAATTCTGATTCGTTTGAGGGGGTATCGGTTCCCCTTGAATGGGTACCGATTCCCCTTGCCTAGAAATCACATTTTGAGCTCGAAAATCACTTCATTTTCAGCTCAACACTTCATACTTCACTCCCTTTAATATTACTAACTTTCATACACATACTTAAACCAATAAATTTTCATTCAATATCTCTTCAACTTATAAATTCACTCTTTCACATAGCATTCAAGAATCATACCAATTTTTCCATGTTATCCAAAATTAATTCTAACACTTCATACTTCTTAATTAGATTGATGACAAGTCAAATTCATCCATAAAACTTCAACAACCATACCATATCAAAATTCCTTCTTAAAACTCATATTACAAATTCCTTCTTAATTCCTTTATCTTATTGTTTAAATCCCATATAAGCTTTCCTTAAGCTTATTTAATACCCAAAGAATCAAAATTCACTTAATATTTACAGTAAATAACTATAAAAACCCAACTTACCTATTGTAGCTAAGCCCCACGTGAAGAAGAGAAAGCAAGAAGAAGAAAGCTTCCAGATAACTCTCTTCCCACGTTTTTCACTCTTATAAAAGGGAAAGAAAAAATATCTTTTAAAGGAAAAAGACTATAATACCCTTAATACCCTTAATTTCCTTTAATAATTACTAAATAACCTTCATCATATATTTCCAATAATCATTGAATTATTTCATTCTTCTACTTTAGTCATCAAATTCTGAAACTTTTCAATTTAGTCACTAACCCGGTATTGCGGATGTTACATAAAGTGTTAAACATATGTTATTGGCAAGCCACATATTTCATGTAATAAGTATGTAACAATCCTAAAAGGGTTAAAAGCTGGACTCTTTTGTGGATGTGAAATATGCCTGTGAGTATGTTCTCTTAGAGGCAGTTGCTGTTTATGTAGGTTCTTTGCGGTAAGGATCTAGCGACAGAGCAAACTGCAAGTCGGATGGTGAATCTACTGAGGCAGCTTCAGCAAACTTTGCCAGCTTCAACATTGGCTTCAACTTGGTCATCTTTGCAGCCACAGCAACAGCTTGTTCTGCAATCCATGCTCTCATAGTATATTGGTCTGATGCCAAGAAGCATCTTTCTGTTTTCAAAGCCAGCATCCATGTCCGTCCTGTCTGTGTGTTGAAGCATTATTCATTACCAATTCTTTCCCCGAGAAGGCTCCCATTGTTTGTCTTTGCATGATGTCTTACTCGCAGGCCAGAGCAACAGCTTGTTCTGCAATCCATGCTCTCATAGTATATTGGTCTGATGCCAAGAAGCATCTTTCTGTTTTCAAAGCCAGCATCCATGTCCGTCCTGTCTGTGTGTTGAAGCATTATTCATTACCAATTCTTTCCCCGAGAAGGCTCCCATTGTTTGTCTTTGCATGATGTCTTACTCGCAGGCCAGCGTAACTTTGATTGAGCATGAAAAAGTGGTCGGACTGACGATCGAAGTGAATCCCTTTTAATCTTATTTTCTCGGTAGAATGTGTATATTACAAGTTGTGGGTTTATAATACGGGGGTATTGAGTCTAGAAGAGAAGAATAATGTGATTTTATGTTTGTGAGCATTTTTGCATTTTCATGGGTTAAGTGCATGAGGTTTGAGGGTTGTCATTAAAGGGCAATTCTTGTAGCAGTTTTGGTGTCTCAAATGTGTTTTTGGTTTCAGTTTGCACAAAAATATTTTGCCTCCGTTGTCATTATAAACTGAAATTTTGAATGGTTACTCTTTCCTATCATGTTTGCAAATTTCTTTTTATCTTTAGATGTTATCATGGATGCTTGGGAGTTTCTTTTTCAAAAAGGTTAAATATACAATTTGGTATTCGAATTTGTCTTCTTTACAAATGTGATATCAATATATTTTTTTCTTTTAAAGAAATTGGTATCTGAATTTTGCACCTATGGCATCTGAATTGTACAAACAAATTACGTAGCCACTAATCGTTTCCCAGCCTATGGAACATCACCATGAACCGGAGTGACTACAAATCGTTACCCAGTCAATGGAACATCACCATGAACCGAAGTTTGAAATATGGCTCAACACTGGAATAACCAAAGAGGTCAAGCAAACGATATTGTCTTTGGTTTTCTGATCCTTGACTTGCATTAGTTGCAGCTTATGAATCCTGAAAATAATGTGCTTTCCGTTTGTAAAGTATCCAAGCAAAGCACCACTGGCGGATTGTCTCTTCCTCAACTTGTACGCTTCTTATGAACCTCCATCATCTTTGGGATTCCAATCTTTCACTATTAGCCAACTTATGAATCTCCAATCTCTTCCTTTCTCCTTCATTGATTTTTAACAAAACACAAATGCTTAGCATTCATTCATTGCAACCATTGATTGATCGCCTCTAACCAAAATGAGTTCAAGCTCTGTTGATTTTGTACTAGGCAGACTCATTATCCTCCTACAAAATGAAGCATCTTCCTTATTATGAGTTCCTGACGAAATCCGAGAAATGAAGATTCTACTCCATAACATGAGGTCCTTTCTCGTTGATGCTGATAGAGTAGGGGCAGGAAGTCAAATTCAGAAGGTTTGGGTGAAAAATGTCCGGGAGAAGTCGAAGACGTTATTGAAAAATTCACTTATCACGAGAACAAGCGTCAACAGCGGCGGCGAGGTAACACTTGCAAAAGGTTCATCCAACGAAGTCTTCATTTCCCAAAGGATTGGTACGTGAGGCTGCGCATGAAGTAGCATCCAAGTTGCTGGACAACTAGAAGAAAAGGCTATCAGTTCTCACTATGATCCTAATTGGAAGAACAGACATAGCGAGTCATCACTATTCTTTAAAGATGATGATCTCGTGGGAATAAAAAAGGCACGACACGAGTTATTGGGGTGGCTAATGGCTGAAGAACCCCGACGCACTGTCATTTCTGTGGTTGGCATGGGCGGTTCAGGAAAAAACACCCTTGTTGCCAACACCTTCAACGAACAAAGTGTTAAACGAAATTTCGAGTTCTGCACTTGGATCACCGTCTCCCAACAATATGCAATTGAAGAGCTGCTTAGGTCCATTGTAAAAGACATCTACAACCAGACGACCAGAGAAGTTCTGATGCAGGTTGATACCATAACCTACAGAAGATTGGTGGAGACACTTGTGCATTTCTTGTAGTCAAGTAAGGTACCTCGTTGTTTTAGACGATGTGTGGAGCATTCATTTATGGCAGGAGATCAATATTGCATTTCCAGAAGGTATGCGCAGAAGCAGGGTCGTGGTTACTACTCGAAGAGAAGATGTAGTGCCTTGTCAATCCGGGTTTTTAAGCCATGTCCACCGAATTCAACCCCTGAGAATGAATGATGCTTGGGATCTTTTCTGTAAGAAAGCTTTTCCAAACGGTTTAGGAAGGTGTTCATCACATCTAGATGAATCACTGGCAAGAAATCTAGTTAAAAAATGTGAAGGCCTGCCATTAGCTATTTCAGCTCTAGGAGGCTTGATGTCTTCAAAGAAGTCGATAACCGAGCGGAAAAGAGTTCATGATAATATGGCTTGGGAGCTAAGCAACAATCCTTTACTCGAAATAATGAAAACCATCTCTATGCTTAGTTACCATGATTTGCCTTTCCAACTCGAGCAGGGCTTCTTGTACTTCTCTCTTTTTCCTGAAGATTATGAGATTGTACGAAAAAGAATTATGAGACTTTGGACGGCAGAAGGCTTTTTAGAAAGTATTAAAGATGTACAACCAGAAGCGGTTTCTGAAAGTTACCTAATGGAACTCATTAGCCGAAGCTTGGTTCAAGTCACGCTGAGAAATGAGTTTGGAAGGCCAAGAAAATTTAAAATGCATGACCTTATACGAGACTTTGCACTTTCGATAGCGAAAGAAGAAAGTTTTCTTGCTGAATGTAATGGAGACAAAGGAGTAGAAGAGGAAGAAATTCATTGCTACTTAGTTCGAGTGAAGGATGAAGAAATAACGACCGCGAATGGTACGTCTCAACTCCATTCCTTGATCATTTTTGTTGTTGATGAAAATTCCAAGTTCAATAAATTGCCATCTGGTTTAAAGTTGTAAAGCGTGTTAGATTTGGGAAATGCTCCAATAAATGAGGAACCAATTGAATTTGGAGATTTATTTAATTTGAGATATCTGAACATGTCAAGAACGCAAGTGGAAAAGCTTCCAAAAACCATCGGTAAACGTTTTAACTTGCAGTCATTACTCCTCAAGTTTAGTAAAATTAAGGAGCTTCCGAATGAAGTTGAGAAACTGCAAAATTTGAGGCATTTAAGTGCTTTCTATTTGGCTAAGAGTGAACTGAGGGGTGTCATGGAGGATTTTCAGTGCATGGAGGTACCCCCAAATATTTGTATGATAAAGAGTTTGCAAGTTCTATACCATGTCAGGGTAACGAATGACTTGTTAATTAAATTTAAAGAAATGGAACAATTAAGAAGGATTGGGCTCGATGGATTGACAGAAGCCGATGAAGAGCATCTGTGCATCTCTATTCATAGAATGCAACACCTTCACTACTTATGGTTGACCTCACTGCCTCAGGGTGCACTAAAGCTGGATGTTCTTCCATCAGCCCCTCCTTACCTTGAGAAGCTTTATCTAGATGGGAAATTGGGAAAAGTGCCACATTGGTTTAACACCCTACTCAACCTCAAACTCTTATCCCTACAAGACTCTCAACTGAGGGAAGATTGAATTTCTCACATCCAGACATTGCCTAATTTGTTGCGACTCAATCTTATAGAAAATGCAATTGCGGGAGAGCACTTATGTTTCGTTGAAGGGTTCAAAAAGCTTCAGCGCTTACAGTTAAGCGATTTATGTGAGCTGAAGGAGATTGTGATAAAGAATGGCCTGATGCCTGGCCTTGAAACGTTGGACGTCTTGAGATGCAAGGAGTTGAGGCGCTTGCCATACGGTTGGAAACATCAAACCCATTTGAAGACGGTGGAATTTTATGATGTTTCGAGTGAGCTGGTGGAGAGCATATGCGAAAAAGGAACAGACCACCTCCCCCACTAAGCCACACATCATCCTCACCAGAATTGATGATGAAGATGAAGCACAAGTAGAATCCAAGTGGGTACATCAAATCCTCAATTAGTTCATGTTCATAACAATTAATGATACATAACTTCTTTTCTTTTTCAGACCTGGCTGAAGTGCAACGAGATGTTCATGGATCTGCTGGTTGGTTCAAAGAGAACTCAAGTATTCTCCACATATACATGAATTTGCATAATTTGCATAGGTCATATATTGTATGATGGAATATTATTTTATTAATTTATTTGTTCATATAGTTCTTAAACTTAAATTATCCATTCATTTGATGACCACAGACTTAATATTGTATGATTGAAATATTGTTTTATTCATATTAAACCTCATCAAGAGCAGCCAGATCCTCACGGGCGCCTTCAGGGAATTCACCTTCTTCCATGCCCTCACCAACATACCAATGCACAAAAGCTCTCTTCGAGTACATGAGATCAAACTTAAAATTGATTGATGCGACGACCGACGATTATAGATGCGATGGCCAGTGAGCTCGCCCGTTAAGTTTTTAATGGTTAGGTACTAAAATGAAACCAAAATTAAGCGTTAGGTATGATCTCAATTTTTTTTTAAAAGTTTAGGTACTAAAATTAATAGTTTAGGTATTAAATTCATAGTTTACCCATTAATATATTAAATAATTTTCATATATATTAATAAAAAAGCTCCTTTAATCACGTATTGTTGTTTCACTTGGGGTAGAGCAAATCACTATTCATTTTCATCAACAAAACATACAAAGACAGATGTGGGTCATAAAAGCCAATTTCAGTCAAAGCAACACATCAAAACAAAAGAGCAAAGGAATTGAGACTAAACTAATCAAAGAAAGAAGGGGTCCCTACCCGGCCGTGAACCCTTTTACAGGGTAACGATCCTTATCAGTGCCATCTTTCACTAAGTTGCTTTTATTTTTAAAGGCAGCCTTAACAGGGAATGACATATGTACGAGCATCTTCTTTTTAAACAAAAATAGTACACCTTCAACTGCTACAAAATTCTTTCTAGCCCATTGTTTAAGATTTTGTTATACGTGTATTGAACACCAATAATTGAAGGACCTTTACGAAGCAAAGCTGCATTAGGCACGGACGTTGGGGTCAAAATACTCCAATAAATACTAAAGTAGAGTTGTTCAATAGTGGTGTTTTTTTAGTCATCTAGCGGCGTTTTTAAGCGCAGCATATAAACTTCCCGTCCCAAGAAAAAACACCGCTAGAAATGCCACTAAAACTAACACCGCAAATGTTTGTGGCGTTTGTAAATCAAAAGCACCGCAACAGGTTATGTCATTTAACGGCGTTTGTAAATAAAACGCCGCAAAAGGTAAGGCCATATAGAGGCGTTTGAGAGCCAAAAACACCGCAAATGTGTAGTCCTTTACTGGCGTTTTTCATCCTGAAACGTTGCTGATCGAAACTGATATACAAATATTATTTTGTACTCTTTATTGCCCAATTTAACCTATCCAGTTATAATATCCAATAGCAACCTTGATACGACTCGAATTAACTAAAAAATACTTAACAACATAAATAAATCAAAGTTTACAAACATTCAAATAATGTAGTTCAACATTCAAGTAAAATGTAATGTAGTTCAGCAACCAGAATAAACAGAGCATGAACCTAACAAATCACCCAGGGTGGTGAATTTCACGCTTGATTTTACTGCATCGTCTGTTTCATAGCTTTAAGTTATTTTTGAAATTCATCATATTTTGTCTAATATGATACTTTACTCATTTCTCTCTCTGCTTCTCTCACTTCAACTTCATATTTCATTTGAGTAAGTTTTTTATCCACTTCAGTCAATTGTTGTTTTAATCAAATAATTTATGATTGATAAGATTGGCTTTGTGATGGCATGTAATAAAACAAACTAGATCCAAAATATTTTGTCGGAGTAACGAATGATCCCTAATAGCGGACTCGATCATATCTTCTGAGAACAAAATTTTCAACAAAATAAATTGATTTTCAATCTTGTCCATATTAATGAAACCATGAGATAAACCGTAGCTTCATGCTTCATCCTTTTATCACTCAATTTTCAATAATAATCAATTAAGAATTTAAAATGAATTCAAAAATTATTTAAAACAAAAATGTTATACTATAAATATAAGTATAACATAACTATTATTTTATGTCCAGTAAATATATCATGATTACTGCAACATTAAGAGTCATAGGATAGACATCTATTTTTTTTTTGTCATTTTGAAGAGCTTTATTCGTCCAACTCTATTGTCGGACGTAATTTCTTACAATGTAGAATATAAATTAATACTTACAAAATATTAATAAATAAAAAATATATTTGCCACTATGTGAATAATTATAATTAAAAATAGAATACCTCGTCATGAGCTACACTATGCGAAACTGCACTACCACACGAGGCAAGTGCGTCACATACCTCTTTTACACGAGTGAGATACACTCGTATGCTATCATTGCCTTTCCTTAGCGACTGCAACTTGCAGTGCAAACTCATAGCAGCCGTCGTGGATCTGCTGGCAAAGAGTTGTTGCACAACACTCCATACTGCAACTGCAGATTCGGCACCAACAAAATGAGGAAGAAGATGAGGGCTAATGGTTGACAGGAGCCACGAAGCAAGCGCACTGTCCTGCGCAACAAAATCCTCAAATGCATCATTGACACGAATCACACCGGTATCATCAAGAATCGTCTCCGGTGGTGATTGTAGAGCTCCGGTCAACAGGCGTTCAAGACGGTGACTCCTTACTGTGAGCAGAATTTGCTGCTTCCACATAAGGTAGTTTATCTCATCAAGAACAACGCTGATTTTCTTGTGAGAGAAGCCCGTACTTGTGGACGAATCCATTGAAACACCAAGCAAGAATCACGCAGCAAAAGTTATTCAAGAAACCCCAAGACTAATGGCGAAAGATACCATATTAAAAAACTGTATATGAAAAGGAATATATTCAATACTTACTTTAACAATGACTGATACATCACTTATATAGCAAACACTGCTATTCTGTTAAGCTAACAGCCTCTCTAACTAACTAACAACTTTTGGCGCGCAATGCTAACTAAATTGTATTATGCACGTTTATATCAAGCTAACATGCGGCTTTGGTTCTATGTCTCTAAAGAAAATTCTAAATTAGAGATTTGGCACAAACTCCACTAAATTATATATTCGACGTGGCGTTTATGCAAAAATGCCACAATATATCAATTTATTACGGCGTTTAGGGAAAAAAATATCACTACACGTACCTGAATATTATGGTGTATACCAGTAAATGCCACTATTTGTATATTTTGTGGCGTTTGTCACTAAAACGCCGCTAAATTTATACAGTTTGCGGTGTCCGTTCAAAAAACGCTATTATAAATATCGTGTTAAAAACATTTTTGATATTTCGATATAACAAATTAAGTTAAATGAATTTTAAGAATTTTACAAATGATTTTACAATTTATATTCTATTCAATTTATCGAATATCAAATTATTACTCCAAGTCTTTGAAGATCAATTTTAATCCTTACTAAATGTGTAAAATTGTGATTTGTACTTAAACTATTTTTGAAACAATTTTTCAAAGTATTTTAAACTAAAATCAAGCCTTAAATCAATTTTTCAAAGGCATGCACCGATGCATCAATACCATGCATCGATGCATCAATGAATAAATTGAAACATCGAATGCATTTCATGCACCGATGCACTCTTCATGCATCGATGCACTCTTCATGCATCGATGCACTCTGATTTAATTAAAACATCGAATGCATTTGATGCATCGATGCACAATACATGCATCGATGCACCAGGCTATTTTTCAAACATCGAATGCACTTCATGCATCGACGCACTCTTAGTGCACCGATGCACTAGGAGTTCAACGGTCAAAATATTTGAAATTTTACACTAATGCACCGATGCATAATAGTCACGCATCGATGCATGAGACGCTCTCACCCAGAAAATTAATTGTTTTCACATAATAACGGCTCTATTAACTCCACTAATTATCACCAACGTTCAGAATTGATTCAAGGAGTATTTAAACAAGTTTAGAAGCCATTGATCAACAACAAGAAACATCAAGCAATTAGAATCAAGAGAGAATCAAAGAGAAAGCATCAAACCTCAAGTTTGAGCATTTCAAGCCTATTTTTCATTCAATATTCATTTTGCTTTCAAGAACACTTATTGTGCTCAATTGTATTTATTCTTAAGTGTTCTTTCTTTGTTCTAGAATTGTGCAAACATATTTGTCTTGTGAGGTTTTTCTTGTAAGTTTGCAAATTTGTATTTCTCTTTGAGAAAAGAGTGTTCTCAAGAATTGGGGTATATTCTTGAGGGAGTTGTAAGGTTATCTTTTTGGCCTCAAAAGAAAGAACAAATTAGTGAATTTTTTGGAAAATCCTTAGTGTGGATAGCTAAGGTAGTGGACGTAGACTTTGGTTGATAAAGTCGAACCACTCTAAATCGCTGTGCAATTTCTTTCAATTTTCTGCAAAAGCTTCCACCAAAATTTTTATTGCCAATTCACCCCCTCTTGGCCGATTCAGTCAATTGATTAACTCAACAATTGGTATCAGAGCCTAACTCATTTGAAGGTTTAATCGCCTCTTGAGTCGATTCTGGAAGAGTTATTTCGATAATCAAAGTCATCAATGGCCTCCGCTTCAAACTTCGACTCCGGTCTCGACTCGATGCTCGTCAACAAGCCTCATTTCTTCAATGGAGCTAACTATGCCTATTGGAAGAATAGAATGATGTACTTCATTCAAGAAAGTGACATGGGAGCATGGAATGCTGTAGAAGAAGGATACATTAAACCTCTCACTCATCCAAGGTTGTGGAGTGAAGGAGAGACAAGAATGTTCCAGCTCAACTCCAAAGCCATCCATATCATTTTTTGTGCTCTTGGACTAGATGAATACGGAAGAGTTTCATCATGTACAACCACCAAAGAAATATGGGACAAACTTCAAGTCACTCATGAAGGTACCGATAAGGTAAAGAAATCTAAAATTAGTATTCTAACGCATAGCTATGAAAATTTCAGGATGAAACCAAATGAAGATATCAAAGCTATGACGGATAGATTTTCAACGATTGTCAATGGTCTCAAATCATATGGAGAGATCATTTCAAATGAAAAGCTTGTGAGGAAGTTAGTCTACTCTCTCCTAAAATCGTGGCAATCAAAGAATACAGCAATCATCGAGTCTAAGGACTTAATGTCCTTAACTCTTGAAGAGCTAATTGGGTCACTCCTCACTCATGAAATGATGCTCGAAGATGAGGTGGACCTCGACAAGATTGACGAGACACCAAAGGAGAAGGAGAATAAGAAAAATATTGGAGTTGCTCTCAAATCCACAAAAGATGAGAGTGATTCGAATAACGATGACGATGACGAGGAAATGGCATTGTTTGCCAAACGGTTCAGAAAAATGATGAGACCTTATCGTGGAAGAAATGAACCGAAAGAGAAGGACCCAATCATTTGCTACGAATACAAAAAGCCAGGGCATGTCAAATATGATTGCCCACAATTGAGGAAAAAGGGTCAATCAAAGAATAAGCACAAGGCTCATGTGGCTACATGGAGCGATGAAGAAAGTTTCGATGAAGAGGAACAAGAAGTAGCTAACTTGTGCTTGATGGCATTTGAGGAAGATTCTAAGGTAACCTCTAACTCATCTAATTTTGATGATTTATCCTATGATGAGTTATTAGAGGAATATAATGGGTTGACTTCGGATTATGAGAAATTATTTTTAAAATATAAAAATGATGTTTCAAAATCGAAAAATGAAAACAAACTCATATTCAAAACCAACAATGATCTTGAAAGTAAAATCAAAGATTTGCAAATCAAACTAGAAGAGTTTGAAAAGAAAAATTTAGATTTGCAAAATTTACTTTCAAAGATCAATGATGATCATCAAAAGAAAATTGATGATATTAAAACTTCTTTTGATAAAGTTGGAACAAAACATTTTGAAAAAGGTGGAAATTCAAAATCCAACTTTGTTAGAAAAAGTTTTAGAAACTACAATCATAGAGGTCCCCAAAGAACCTCTAATGAAAAAATCGTTAAAAGTATGTGGGTTCCTAAAGAACTCATTACTACTAAAGATAAAAATATCCTACACAAATGGATACGTAAGGGGACTAGGATTTTGGAAACTAATGAATATGGACCCAAAAGAATTTGGGTACCAAAAATAAAAAATTAATCTATGTTTGTAGGGAAAGAAGCATTGCTACAAGGCACGGGAAACAAATTCAAATTCATGGTACCTTGATAGTGGATGCTCAAGACACATGACCGGAGACAAAAGCCGGTTCATTGAGCTTAACGCCAAAAATGGAGGAGAAGTGACTTTTGGAGATAATTCAAAAGGTCACATTGAAGGTATTGGTACAATAGGTAATACCTCTTCCATACAAATTAAAAATGTTTTATATGTGAATGGATTAAAGCATAATCTATTGAGTATTAGTCAATTATGCGATAAAGGATTCAATGTCTTATTTGAAATTAATGGTTGTAAAGTCATTGACATTGCATCTAATCGGATTATGCTTGTTGGTCATAGAATAGGAAACATATACATGGTGCATTTAGATTCTTTTGATATGACTAATTTATGCATAGTTGATAAGGATGAACATGATAGTTGGTTATGGCATAGGAGACTAGGACATGCTAGTATGAGTGTTTTGCAACGGTTAATTCAAGGAGACCTAGTAAGAGGGTTGCCTAAGCTTAAATTTGATAATGATAAAATCTGTTATGC